TTTTTTTTTCAGTGGCCCTAATCCTCTTCCGTACCTGAGCTGCTAAATATCCCTCTAAAAATATATACGTCAACAAAGGGGTATGCATATTCTCTCCTGTGCATGTCTGGTTGCTGACTACGTATGTTCCCTCCTTCAATAGTCCAAAACTGCATGCAAGATTGATCAGCCATTCTGAATTGCCCCTAGGTATGAGTGTTTGCCTGTCTCCGCATTCTAGAATATAGCTGACTAGACGCCGGACTCTATTAGTAAACAGTGAATAAATATGTAAATAAGACTTGAAAGTTACATAGTACACTATAAATAGAATAAAAAAAGGTAAATAATAAATAAATGTACATTTAGATGCAGTCTGAAAATAATATATTATTTGATAGAAATCTTTTAACCGATGTGTTTATATGATTTGATGGAAGTTAATCTGAACAGTTTTAGATGACATCTGTTTTTAATTGTTGATATAGAAAGAAGTTATTTCAGATGCATTAAGTCTGGAACTCTGGTAGGAAGACCTTATTGTTTTATTGTAATTTGTTATTTTAAAGAAAAACAAACATATTTAGAAACATTTAGAATTTTTTAACTTTACATATTTTTTACAGTTTAAAGTAAACAATAGCATTACATATCCTATTTTATAGTTTTATTTGATCAAGTGTTTCAATTCACAAATCATGTTCTGAGAATAAATTATATCTTTACGGTGTTAGATCTGGTTACCCTCTATATTTTAAGCATCTCCTCTTTTTGTATCTTCATGTTTAATGTAATGTATGACAGCAGATCACTGAAAGCATTTGTAACCCCAAACTGAAATCTCCATGTTGTAGCTAACCCTTCAGAAGGAGCTGAATTTAGTCGGACAAGGATGCACGTTTATATGTAACATATTTTGATCCCCTTTTCAGTTGTTATGCCATTCCCTCCATCAGCTGGGTGTGTATCTCCTGGAAGCTGGGTCTTTCTTTAGCGTTTCTCCTCCAGCAGCTCAGCATGAGGTCATTGTAGAGTCTGTCAGGACAACACTGCGGTTTTGGTAGGTATACCTAAGAGGATAAAACAATGAGGGAGTATGTTAGAAGCACAACAAGGTTAAGTGTTTTATTTCAAGGTTCATAATAGTCAAGAGGATTTGCAACATATCATGGCAAACAGGGGCGGATTTAGAAAATATTTATGGGGTGGCGAGAGGGGGGCAGGAATTTTTGAGGGGTGGCAACATATGACATTTGTTCACACTGAATTTAATCACAGTTATCACAGTTTTGTGAGAATAGTATGTACCGTAAGTGTTTCATGTGAAACAGTTCATATTAGTAATACATTGTTCAATGTGATCTCACTTAATGGGACATAGAAGAATGATAACACTACTTCAAGAGGGGCCTTATGACAGGAAAGGTATTAAGGTAAGACACAGGTGCTGAGTCGCAGATGTGTGAGATTGACTGTCAGAGAGGCAGCTTTGCA